AAAACACTCAAAAGTGAATCTGTAAGGCAAGTCTACTGTTCCCTGTTGCTCACAATGTTTTTGCTCAGCTGAACAGATGAATTGAATACAGACTGCAATACAACACTTTCGAAAAGCGAGAGAAGAGCAACATGATGATGAAAGGTCTCAAATACAGTACACTTTAATCAGCCTTTACAGATGTATATTGTTCCTCATTCCCCAGGTCATTAGGATCAAACTTGAAAGTTTGATGTGTAATCTGCTCTTCTTCTTCATATGAAGCAGGTGTTTGGGAGTGCAAGCTACAATGTGAAAGTACACATGAGTCAATGTCAAGGTGTGATTTTATAAAATAAAAATGTTATCACTGGCAGGTTTCAAACTTGCGCAGTCCAAGAGAAACAGATTTTGACTCTGATGATCACTTGACAATTTCATCTTTAGCAGGTTTGAACCCACGCAGAAAGATTTGGATTCTGTCGCATTGATTGCTTGGCTAAGTCCAGTTAGATGCACTCCTAATGAATCCATTCAGAAGTGGATCCTAAATGTACATTTATCTGCATTTTGTCAGCTCTAACATTAATTTCTAACATCCCCCTTAAGTCCAATCATATGTGATCCTTCATGCTATTGAAAGAACTGCCTTTAGGATTCATTTGTGAATGGGTCCATTGGAGGTGCATCTCACTGGTCTTAGCCAAGCAGTTGATACAACAGAATCTAAATCTGTCTGGGTGGGCAGCAAAACCTGCTAAAGATGAAATTGTCAAGTGATCATCAGAGTCAAAATCTGTTTCTCTTGGAATGTGCAGGTTTAAAACCTGCCAATGATGAAATTTATTTTCTATGAAAACACATCTTGACATTGTCTCATGAATGATTTTCTCCACAACTCATCACAACTGATATTAGCCATGTCATTGCTGCAATAGATTCAAAATCTGTTTCCATTGAAGTCTACAGGTTTGAAGCCTGTTGAGTGACACATTTTTTGTATTAGAACATGTCTTATATATCTGCTCATGTACAGCATTTCAAATGTTGATCTTCATTGGTCTTAGTTAAGTTGTCACCAGAGTCAAAATCTGTTTTTCTTGAACCATGCAGGTTTGAAACCTCTCAACAATAACATTTTCATTTTATTCTATGAAATCACACCTTCACATTTTCCATATGAATCTCAAAATGAATTGGAAGGCCTCAAATTTCTGGTGGCATTATGACTTTCTTGGAAGAGAAACCAAAACAAAAATCAAAGCTGGTGTGTGGAACCATGTTCCACTGCTGGCCTTACAGCAACTTATCTTATGATCCATGCCAACTGTTGAACATTGTCTGAGTCACTCTCTATGAATGATATCAGAGACTGTCTATGATTCAATATTCAAGGCATGTTCTAATAGAAAAAAATGCAACATTCAATGGGTTTCAGACTGTCAAGATGCATTTTCATCAAATAAAAATGTTATCATCAGCAGGTTTCAAACCTGCGCAGTCCAAGAGAACAGATTTTGACTCTGATAATCACTTGACAATTTCATCTTTAGTGGGTTTTGAACCCATGCAGACAGATTTAGATTCTGTCTTATTAACTGCTTGGCTAAGACCAGTTAAATTCACTTCCAATGAACTCATTCAAAAGTGAGTACTCAAGGTACATTTATCTGCATTTCATCAGTTCTTTCGATAGCATGGTCAGTGTTGATTTTTTATCCTACTCTTATTGCAAAAGACACAGACTTCCCGCTGGGGTCCTTGACTTCAAGACCTGTTTATCTAACAATTTCCCTGAAAAAGTGCTGATGGAAGACCACCATGGTGGGTCCATGAGTGAAAACTAACAATGAAAGGATCACACAGTGTATTTTTGACACAGAGTTCAATATATGACCAAAGTCTTGATGCAAACTCAGAAGAATAAGTACAATGACAATATAATTCTTTCTAAAGGTCTTGACTTGGTCGAAGAAGAAAAAGAGCAGATTACAGATCAAATTTTCAAGTTTGATTCTAGTAACCTGGGGAATTAGGAAAAACACAAATCTATCAAGGCTAAGATTCTTTATTGTGCTTATTCAAGCTATCACCAGAATCAAAATATATTTCTCTTGAACTAAGCAGGTTTGTAATATATATAATGATGTGTCTTTTACATTAACTCGTGATTCATCACATTCCACCATTTTGGATTTCATAGAATAAAAATGTTATTATTGGCGGGTTTTGAACCTGCACAGTTGAAGAGAAACAGATTTTAAATCTGGTGACAACTTGACCAAGACCAATGAAGATCAATTTCTGAGATGCTGTCTATGAGCAAATATTTAAGACATGATCTTAGAGAAAAAATGCAACATTTGACAAGTTCAAGTTTCAAACTTGTTGCACTCTGATGGAAATAGATTTTTATTCTGTTATGACAGTCACTTAGCTAAACACAACTGTGATCAGCTTGCAAGAAAACCGACCACAAGCAAATTTTTCAATGTGTGTTTTCATAGAAAATAAAATTTATTGCTGGCAGGTTTCAAACCTGAGCAGTCCAAGAGAAACAGATTTTGACTCTGATGATCACTTGGCAAATTCATCTTTAGCAGGTTTTGAACCCATGCAGACAGATTTATATTCTGTTGTATCAACTGTTTGGCTAATACCAGTTGAATGCACTTCCAATGAACCCATTCAGAAGTGACTTACATACTTTTGCCTATTTGCTGCACTTCTGACTTGCTTCTGCACACTTAGAACACACTTAGAATTACTTATATAGCACCATGTATCTTTTGACTCTGAACAACTTTCCACCACCATCTTGCATATTGTGGGACTCAAAGTCTAAAATATGCTATGACTGCTATTTGACACTGAGCACTTGAAAGCATCTAAGCACAGAATGTTGCACTATTGTCTAAATACTTCTGCTTTATCTCAGAACTTCTTCAGGTCATTAGAATCAAACTGGAAAGTTTGATGTGTAATTCACTCTTTTTCTTCAACCAAGTCGAGACCTTCAAAGAGAATTAAATTGTTCTTGTACTCATCATTCCGAGTTTGCATCAAAACTTTGGTCATACATTGAACTTTTGTGTCTTGAGGTTTCACTTCTGAATAAGTTTGTTGGAAGTGCATCTCACTGGTCTTAGCCAAGCAGTCAATACAACAGAATCTAAATCTGTCTGTGTGGATTCAAAACATACCAAATGTTAAATAGCCAAGTGATTGCCAGAGTCAAAATCTGTTTCTCTTGGACCACACAGATTTGAAACCTGCCAAGGATAATTCTCATTTTCTATAAAAATGCACCTTAGTATATGCTCATGGTTGGTTTACTCAAAAGCTCATCAGAGTTGTGTTTAGCTAAGTGGTTGTCATCACAGAATCAAAATCTGTTTCCATTGGAATGCAACAGGTTTGAAACCTGTTGGACGTTGCATTTGTTTCTATTAGAACATGTCTTGAATATTTCCTCATAGACAGCATCTCAGACACTAATCTATATGTTTTTTTGTTTCCTGTTAGAACACACCTCAAAATGGACAAATGTGTACTTTCCTGAGAGCACCATCTCACTGGTTGTGTGATTTCATAAAATAAAAATATTATCATTGGCGGGTTTCAAACCTGCACAGTCCAAGAGAAACAGATTTTGACTCTGATAATCACTTGCAATTTCATCTTTAGCAGGTTTTGAACCCATGCAGACAGATTTGGATTCTGTTGTATCAATTGCTTGGGTAAGACCAGTTAGATGCACTACCAATGAGCCCATTCAGAAGTGAATCCTCAAGGTACGTTTGACTGTATTTTGTTAGTTCTAGTATTAGTTTCCAATACCCTCCTTGAGTCCAATCATATGTGATTCTTCCATTGTCGGTTTTCACTCATGACCCAGCTGTTAATATTCCAAGACATCACAAACATCATCAGCCCACTATGGCGGTCTGTCATCAGCACTTTTTCAGAGCAATTGCTAGATAAACAGGTCTTGAAGTCAAGAGCCCCAGAAGAAGTCTGATGTCTTTTGCAATAAGAGTAAAATAAATAAAAAATCAATCATGGCAACCATCCTATTGAAAGAACTGCCTTGACTTTTGATTGGGTTCATTGCAAGTGCATTCAACTGATATTAGCCAAGCAGTCGATATGACAGAATATAAATCTGTCTGTGTGGGTTCAAAACCTGCTAAAGATGAATTTGCCAAGTGATCATCAGAGTTAAAATCTGTTTCTCTTGCACTGTGCAGGTTCAAAACCTGTCAATGATAAATTTTATTTTCCATAAAAACACATTTGGTTTTCTGAGAAACTCATCTTGAATGATCTTAGTCATGTCATTGCCATGACTCTGGTCTGCACACTTTTTGAACTCTACACACTCTGAAGGTCTGTCTTTGTTGATCCTAAATCTCTCTGAGTAATCATTTGCCCATGGATATTTTCTATATCTATTTTTGTTAAATTAAGCAGGCTTAAAACCTGTATAATAATATGGTTTTTCTTTTGCCATTAAAACTTGTCTTGAATGCAAGCTCATGAGTCATTACATTCCACCATTTTGTGTGGTGATCAAATGCAGATAAATGTGCCTTAAGGGTTCACTTCTGATTGAGTCCATTGGAAGTGCATCTCACTGGTCTTAGCTAAGCAGTCATTACAACAGAATCTAAATCTGTCTGTATGAGTTCAACACCTACCAAATGTTAAATAGCTAAGTGATCGCCAGAGTCAAAATCTATTTCTCTTGGACCGTGTAGGTTTGAAACCTGCCAATGATAAGATTCATTTTCCATGAAAACACATCTTGAAATTTGCTTATGGTCAGTTTGTTTGCAAGATGATCAAAGTCATGTTTAACCATGTGGCTGTCATAACAGAGTCAAAATCTGTTTCTATTGCAGTGCAACAAGTTCAAAACTTGTTGAACATTACATTTTTTCTAGAGGCACGTGGCTTTCATATTTGCTCACAGACAGTATCTCAGACATTGATCTTTTTTTTGTTTTGTTTTTGTTTTTTCATGCAAGCTTGTGCACCTGAGGAATCAATTGAATTCAATGGTGAGTTTTCTTTTCTTGCATGCACTTACCTTGACAAGCACTAACTTGACTGGTTGAATCTCTCTGTTCAGTGTGATGCAACACACTCAGTCTCATCCAACAACTCAGCCTCATCAACAAATCTGTCTTCATTATATGCCTCGTCCATCATCCTTGAATGTTGATGGTTGGAGTACATAACTTTCTCTTTGTCATTGGCACTTGAAATAATAAGCACAGTGGCCATCCATTTCAATAATCTGTGGTGTTGGATCAAAAAATGCATAGACTGGTGAGTTCAAATCTCTCATAAGGTGTTCTGTTTTGTACTTGATTAATATGATATTTGCATTGAGGTTATTGCAAATACAGAGCTCATCTTCTGCCATCTCATCTTCATCCATAGATCCTACACTATTAGTGGGAGTGTTATTAGGCAGTAGGGTTTTTTTGGCCTTTTTTAGGTTTATATTCCCACTATCTCCACTGCTGTTGTTATTATGCTTCTTCAACAAAGTTCTGATAGTCTGCTCTTCTAGAGCAGCTTTGGCCTTCCCAGTCATTTTAATAACTTGTTTGGCTGTGGCTGAAAAGGTAAGCTGCATAATGGGAAGTACTAGTAGTTTCTAAGTGTTGCACAGGATGTTATGATAATAACATGGCTAAGACCATTTAAGATGAGTTTTTGAGAAAACTCTTCACAAGGAAATGTCAAGGTGTGATTTCATAGAATAAAAATATTATCATTGGCAGGTTTCAAACCTGCACAATTCAAAGAGAAACAGATTTCGACAAACTCATCTTAAATGGTCTTAGCCATGTTATTGTCATAATAGATTCAAAATCTTATTATCCTGGACTAAGCAGGTTTGAAACCTATATAATTGCATTTTTTGTTGTTCATTGAAATATACCTCAAACAATTGCTCATGGATGGTTGTCTCAAAAATTCATTATAACCAGTCTTAGCCAAGTGGTTGTTACAACAGAATTAAAGTCTGTTTCTCTTGGACCGTGCATGCTTGAAATATGCTGAGCAATACATGTTTTTGACCTGCTCAGTCCAGGAAAATCAGATTTTGACTTTTATAACTCCTGAACGAGGACTGATTGCAAACCTATAGGCTTTGATTGAAACATATTTTGAAATATATTGTGGTAATGATGTGGAAAAGAGCATTTATAATGGGTTTTAAAGAAAACTATCCATGAGGAAATATCAGGGTTTAATTTCATAGAATAAAAATATCATCATTGGCGGGTTGAGTGACAACTGACAATGAAAGAATTGCATATGGTTGGGCTCAAGGGGGATGTTAGAAATTAATGTTAAAACTGACAAAATGCAGGACAAATGTACCTTGGGGATTCACTTCTGAATGGATTTATTAGAAGCACATCTAACTGGACTTAGCCAAGCAGTTAATATGACAGAATCCAAATCTGTCTGTGCAGGTTCAAAACCTGTCAAAGAGTTTGAAACCTGCCAATGATGACATTTTTATTTTATGAAATCACACCCTGTCCCATATCAAGCACTGCATTTTTGTGCGGGCCCTACATTATATGTCCATCTATTGTCTGTTCCAATACTGCTAGTATATTTTCATCATTTTATTTTCATGTCATGCTGAAGGGTACACCCAGCTACAGACCACAATGTATAGATGCAAGAAAAGCATTCTCACTACATCCTGCTGCAAAACTAGTACAAAGCAGTAACACCTGGGCTGCATCAAAAATGATAAAACAGACACGAATAATATCACTTTAATGAATACTTCAAAATGTCCAACTATCCCTATTTTCTTGCACTTGGGTCTCTGAGAATCTATACACTGCAAAATATTTTGCAAGCAGGTTTTGAACCTGCATAGTTTGAAAGAAACAGATTTTGACTCTGTTGCAACATCTACTTGGCTAAGACCAGTGATATGAAGCTCTCAGAAAAGTACACATGAGTCGATGTCGAGGTGTGTTCTGACAGTCATGAGGAAATGTCAAGGTGCGATTTCATAGAATAAAAATGTTATCATTGGCAGGTTTTAAACTCACACATTCCAAGAGAAACAGATTTTGACTCTGATCATCACTTGGCAATATGATCCTTGGTAGGTTTTGAACCCACACAGACAGATTTAGATCCCATCGCATCAACTACTTTACTAAGACCAGTGAGATGCACTTGTAATGAACTCATTCAGAAGTGAATCCTCAAGGCACGTTCATCTGCATTTTGTCATTTCTTTCAACAGCATGGTCACTGTTTATTCTTTTATCCTTGATGCAAAGTTCAATATATGACCAAAGTCTTGATGCAAACTCTGAATGATAAGCACAAGAGCAATTTAATTCTCTCCAAAGGTCTTTCTCGACTTGGTTGAAGAAGAAGAGCAGATTACACATGAAATTTTCAAGTTTGGTCTCAATGACCTGGGTAATGAGGAAGAAATACACATCTGTAAAGGCTGAGATTCAAGGCAAATATTCAAAAGAGCCATCTGACCACTATTTGCTCATGTATAAGGTTGAGGTGCACTGTGTTTGAGACCCTTTCATCATCAAGTTGCTCTCCTCTTGCTTTTGAAAGTGCTGTATTGCAGTCTATATCTATATTTAATTCATCTGTTCAGCTGAGGGAAAACATTGTGAGTGACAGAGAACAGTGGACTTGCCTTGCAAATTCACTTCTGAATGTTTTCTTTAAAGATGCTTCTAACCATTCTTAGCCAAGAAGCTGGTGTGACAGAATCCAAATCTGTCTGTGTGGGTTCAAAACCTGCTAAAGATGAAATTGTCAAGTGATCATCAGAGTCAAAATCTGTTTCTCTTGGACCATACAGGTTTGAAACCTACCAATGATAAATTTCATTTTTTTTTATGAAACCACATCTTTACATATGCTCATGGTCAGCTTGCTTACAAGCCCGTCAGGGTTGTGTTCAGCCAAGTGGTTGTAGTTTCCAAAACTATACAGATATCCAGTCTGACTTTTCTTCTTGGTTCTTCCGTCAACTTCTTGATTATTATATTCCAATAGCTACTATCTATGGCTCATAATAATAAACCATAGAAAGATGAGAGGAGTTTTGAGTGAAGTAAACAGACTGGTTAGAAGGCTGGATGTCAGCCAAGATAGGGTGATGAAATATAATGAATGTACTTACCCACAAATGCCAACAGCACAGGCTTTAACAAAATCTGAATGTTAGTAATAGTGTCAAAAGAATCAGCAAGTGTCAGAAGGTTTAAGATGGTTCTGACATTTGAAGATAATCCTGGCGGTTTAAGACAATACTGACCGTGTAAGACAATGCTGGTTGTGGGAGACAGTTCTAGCTGTGGAAAACAATGCTGGGGGTTGAAGACAATGCTGGTGGTGGATGCAGAATACTGCCAGTGGAAGACAAGATAGTGCCGGTGAAGACAAGACTGCCGACCAAAGTCTAAGCAATCAATAGCAGCAAGAAACACAAAGTTGCTGCTCGCAGTGTGTCTACCACAAAGGTAGACTATGGTAGACTATAGAAGCCGGGCAATGTGAACCGTGATGGGAGATGAAGTTGGGTGGCGAGTTGGGTGGTGAGCAATGAGGAAAAGGAGTTGGGGGTGAAGAAATGTGAAGTCCACACTTTGAATCATTGTGGGAAAGCCCGTGTACAATCTGGGAAAGCCCATTGCCCAACTTCCAATTTTGACAATCTTATTACTAAGTCCAAGTTTGACTTGTCGCCTGTTATTATTCTTCACCTGTGACCTCGTCATCGCTTACCACCCATCTCCTCCTCCTCATCTGGCCCCATCACTTGCTCTGCCTTCAAGGCAGACAAAATTAGCCTGGGTGACTTCATGTCATTGAGGGCTACCTGACTATGAGTCTAATAGTCCTACCTACTTCAACACAACATCTCTTCCTCCTCATCTTGCCCCATCACTTTCTCTGCCTTCGAGGCAGACAAAATTAGCCTGGGTGACTTAGCATCATCAAGAGCTACCTGGCTGTCTGACTACGAGTCTGATGGTCCTACCTACCTCAACACAGCTCGACACTGAGCTTGTCAATTCACCGATATTCATTCATCCTCGGCAAAGGCCCTTTTCCAGCTATTGTATTCTAATTGATTGTCTCCAGGGATTTTGAACATCTCAAGTACTTTGTATTCTAACTACCAATCAGTATGTCCTCCCCCCATCTTATATTATTATAATTGATACAATCTACTTACAACAGATAATCAAAGGTTGAGCTATGCAAAAGGTGAGACCCGCTAACTAAACTCGTTTGGGAAGTGGAGAAGGTGAACTCTCAAGTAACTACTCTGCCCGCTTCACACTAGCTAACACGACAAAAGCAGTGAGATCCACAAATTAGACTGGCGGGTATACTTATAAGAATACCTTTTTTGACACGCTGGAGGAGATTGTTGACAATGACCACACTATCATCAGTACCACTAGCATCATTGACTAATCAGTGTCATGAACTTGGACAAGGATCTCACAGAAATTTACACTGATATTGGTGGTCTCAAGAACCAGATCCAAGAAATCAAAGTAAGTTTTATCCCTTTTTGTTCAAGTTGTTGAAGTGACACTTTTTTCCACTTTACAGATCACAACCAGGCTAATTTGAAGGTAGACTGGCACTATGTCCCCCACATATTGATCCAATGTGACAGGCTCTTTATTTACTAGCTGATACTTTCTTTCTTCTGTTTGAGTAAAATTGTGCGCTCACTGTTGTCCACAGTGAGCAGCCATTACCATATTAAGCAGTAAGTGCTAGAGCGAGCACCTGTCACCCAATCAGAACATTGGTACAGTTTAGCATACACATACACTACTAGCTTACAGTAACTGACATTGCACACCTGAATAGTTATACCTATGTATATGATAGACCATCATTTTCTCAAGGAGCTGTCATATCCCATGTTCCGGACCTGGACTTATCACACCCATCATTTCTGTTACAGTCACTACGAGAGCCCCCAGCTACTCGACCAGCCCTCTGCCACCCTGCACGGCAACAGTACGATAACCGGGCCTTTAGGCCTTGATGATAGATGATAAATAGAAGAGAAGTCCGGAAGATGCCGGATTAGGTAAGCGATCTGGATCGCTTACATGATATGACGACATAGGTCTAGAAGACCTATTTATGTTATCAAGATAGAAGGCAAGCCTCGTGTTGCCTCATGTACTGATAGAAGCCTGCCTCATGCATGGTATCTCTGACTCGATAGATAAGCAGATTAGAACCCAGCTTCAAGCTGAGCTTAGATACGATAGAGTAGCCTTATATAAGGTCGAGGATTAAAGTAGATGTTCCTTACTTTAATCCTACTGGGTTTTACCTTGAACTCCTTGTCTTGCTAAAGCTACCTGCTTGACATCCGATCCGTACCTTCAGAAGGACTTGAGACCCCTTCTGCCTGTAAACCGCTATCATCGCTCGCCTCCGCAAGCGTACGCAACTTCTGCTTTTCTGTGGAAGCCGACCTTGGACTCTCAGCACGAGATATCACTGTTGTGATCGTCGCTGTTAGATCATCCCAGTTCG